CCCTGTCGGCATACACCATCATGAGTTTAAAAATGGATGACAATGTAAACTGAAATATCACCAACAGCACTTCCAACCACCATCAGTCTTTCTCTCTGTTTGGAGTAGTAATGCAGCCCAGGTTAGGATGGTGAGTGAGTGGGCCTCCAGTGATTCTGAAGGGCAGTGTTGCCTGGATATGCGCCATAACTCAATGTAGATGTTGCAAGATGCTATATAGTTGTGACAGCAGTCTTCATTGTGAATGTTGTGCTGTTTTTTTGTGATTACTGTATAACTTTACCAAATTTATTTTGAAAAAAAAAAAAAAATCAAAGGAAAGAAAAGAAAATACAAGATGTTTGTTCAGGACATGGAAGTCATGGATCACTGAAACAACAACAGGAAAATCAGTTACAGCCTCTTATGACGTGCAAGACATATTTTGGGGGAAACCTAAAAAGCATTCTAAAAAGACCTATATAAACCCTAAAGCTTGACCTTAAAAATGAAGATCCACTTCTTCAGGCTGAATGCAGATATCAGAGCACAACTTAAGCTCTAGTGGTGGGGTTAGTGTTAAATTGCACCTTTACATGCCAGAGGCATGATAACTGAACTAAAAAGAAGTGGCTCTTCCCATTTATTTGGTGAGTTGTAAATGGAACAATCTGCTCCCCCAGAAATCAATCTTTGGTGTGGAATACTTCCAGAAAATGATTGAAAGGTGGCTCTGAACATTTGCAACCAGGCTCCTTCACATGGAAGAGCAGTGTTTTGTTTTTTAGCTGGCATCACTCACCTCAATTTCAAAGCCTTTCTCTAGTTAATGTTGCTGTGTTACAAAAGTTCTTACCCTGCACTTCGACCTCACTTGATAGTGACCATTAGGTCTGTTTTAAACTGCTCTGCTTAATATTTTCTTCCATTTAAGGAAATGATGGAAATTTATTGTGTTTGGCATTAGCAGCTCTAGCCCTGGAACCCTCAAAAAGAGTATGGGTGCATGAGGTAAAGGTTTAGTTTCTCCTCTGCCATTGTTGTTGACAAAGTTGATATCAAAAGTCCCATTACTCTCTGTCTTTGATTGATTGGTGAGGGAGAAGTGACTTTGATGATCATGGCAGGGTTCCAAAAGTTTAATTATTTTCAACTGAAAGCACTGTGAGCACAGCAACAAAAAACTGTCGACACTGTGGGCGTGAAAACACTGAACTGCATTGATTTTGTATTGAAAATAGGCACTGCCAGCACAAAATGCTCAGAGCCATAGTGGACTTCAAAGGCCACCTGGCCACCGGGCCACCCAAGAGTAGTAGTATTCAAAGCTACCATGCAAAAATACAGTGGCGTCAATATGGAAAAATGTATTTTAAGTGGCATATTCCTTTAATCAGTGGTTTTACATCTCTAATGTTGGCCTTTTAAAGAATGTCCAAGTGTTTATTTTTGTTTGTGTTGGTAGAGGACTGATGGGTAAGTGCTAAACAGTTGCTACAAGGTCACAAATGAGTAAATCAAAACCAAAGAGAAGAACTGATGTCATATTTCTATAACAATCATAGATCAGATAAAATGTGCTTTTCCAGTAGTCTGTTTTATCATTGTAAAGTTGTAAATAATGATTCCCAAAGGTTACAGGCCACCATGCCCAACAAATTACAGGCCACATGCCCAACAAATCAACCATGTTAGGACTGAACTCTATTCGGATACATGCATGATAAGAAGAAACCCCATTATCACAAATTCTAAAGATGTAGATTATCAGAATAAAAAAGATAGCTTTATAATCCAAAATCAGGGGCTTTGCTGAGTGTCACCTGATAGCTTCCAGTTGTGTTCTTTTAATTGTCAGTATGCTGGATGTTTTGAATGTTGCTTTTCGGCCTTCTGGGTGTATGTTGTTGTGAGAGGGGGACCAGCCACAGCTGTTCCCAGATGCATACGTGATGCCATTTGTCTCGCTCTGTAATCCCCATTGGGGAAAGACGAGTGGGCCGCTGTTTGACCATGAAATCGGTACAGATCAAGACTCTGTAGCAGTGGCAGCTGGCGCTGAGGTCTCACTCATCGGAAACAATCAGTCAGAGGATTTAGAGTCTGAAACACAGGTCCTGCTGGGTGTGGATACCTGTGTGTTTTTTACCCTGACTAATGTTTCATGAGGAGGAAAGGGCAACAAAACCAAACATAAATGTAATCGACACAGTAAAGTGAGTATGTGGTAGTAAAGATGAATCTAAAGTCCAAAACAAAAACAAACATCCACGATAATTTAACTTCTCAATGAAATTAACTTGATGGTTAAAAGCATTATGTGGTAGTAAAGATGAATCTAAAGTCCAAAACAAAAACAAACATCCACGATATAATTTAACTTCTCAATGAAATTAACTTGATGGTTAAAAGGTCAGTTAAAAATCAATCGAAGTATATGTTTTTCTTTCTCCTATCATTAGAAATTAAATCAGAGTTTAATTTGGAATTGTACTCCTCACACCAAGTCTGCTAGCACCCTTGAATATGGTCTTGTTTAATTCAGCAGTAAATGAAGAGCTTTCTGTGTATATATGATAGTATTGTTGTATAAGTTGTGCAAAACAGATTAAAATAGTAAAAGATCATTAACCAAAAAATAGAGAAAAGAAGTTGTCTTGAAATACATCCCTGAGGCATTCCGTTCAGCCGACTCAACAAATCTAGTCAGTGAATTTTAAGGAATCATTGGTTTAGGAAAATTAAATCTAGGACACATTTAGCAAATAAGAAAAAACTAAATTTAGAACACATTGGTAATCTAAAAAACTAAATCTAGAACACATACTGGTAATCTAAAAAACTAAATATAGAAGAAAAAAGATATTGAGAGCAGATTTTAATATTATTAAGGTACTGTAAAAACTGATGACATTTGTTTTCAAATACTCTGACAATGGAATAATAGAAATATAGATGTAATTATCCAGACCCAATGCATCTCTGCCTCATCTATGAGAGGAGAAATAAATGCATATTTTCAAATAGCTTGCTATTAAAATGTGCATCCGATGGATCGTTAAGACAATGTGATGGCAAGTTGGACAACTTAAGTTCAGAATCGTTGCATTATGTAGGGCCTATATTTTTTTAGTAACTCCATGTTTATACCCCTGTTGAGCCCTACTTTTAGTCTCAATGTTTCAACCTTGCTCAGCATTCCCCAACCTCAGACATCTGTTCCAAGAGAGACTCACACTTGTAGTGGCACCATAAATAGGCCACCCATGCCAAACAGTCATGACTTAGCAAAGAGAATGGGTGTGGGACCAATACTGCTGGTGGGTGACTGACTAGGTGTATGTCTATGCTTGAGGACCAGTGACAGCAGTGACCGGAGGGACACCTGTGTGACCTAAAGCCCTTTGGCCAAAAAGACTGTCAGACATGTTGCCTGGCTGGACAGTGTTTTCTTGAGTTATTTAAGGACTTTTCTGCTCACACATACCTGGAGGGGAGACACTTTGGTCAGAAGAAGTTTAATACAGAGATAAACAGAGATACACACTCCTCTTAAAACTTAGAGTAGACTCTTTAAGGTGTTTTTTTTACAGATACTCTTAAATGTTGTAAGGGGGAAAATAGAATTTAGCTGAATCGAATACTTGTCACTGTAAGCCTGTATTGCCAAATGTAACCCAAATGTACTTCTTATAAATTAAAACAGGCTTTCCTTTTAACATAATACATTAAATGATTTATTCTGGAGAAAATTTTCCATGTTGTCAATCACTATCTATAATACAATAGGACTCATTTGTTCTCGAAAGCCAGCATCATCGAGGTAGAATCAAACTTTCTCCGACTCAGTGAACACTCCTTGGCAGAAGTGCTTAACAGCTCTTGCTGTGAGGGCATATCATCCCCAAACAAGCTGTCCATACTTCTGTGAGGGCTCGAGGTGAAAGGCCAGGCTGTAAAGGTTTCTGGGAAAAGCCTCTAAAACAGTTAATCTGTATGTGGTGTCGTCGCTCTTTCTCTCAGAAAAGGAACTCTTTGGTCTAATTGGTAACATGATACTTTGGAGTTACTGAATCTCGGTCTGGTGAAAACATTAAGACCCAAGCAGATACTTGGTGGAGCCACAGTTTCCTCTTAAATTTCCCCTTGTCTCATGTGCAGATGGTCACTGACACTCAATAGACAACATTTCAATAATCGTATTGGTTTTAAAAAATGGAAATATAATTTATCAAAAATTAAAAACATTACATTTAAACCAACTTTAAAAAACATGGTTAAATCTCTTTTTTTTTTGTCAAGCCAGTGATGTGGTTTAATGGATGGCGGTGTTGATTTGTCAGTTTGCCGGTCACTCAGCCTGTCTATTGGTACCCCCACTTTGGTCTTGACTCAATATCTATTTGATGGATCGAGTGAAATTTTGTTTAAACATTCTTAGTCCCCAGAGGATAAATTCTACTGATTTAAATTATCTACCAGTTAGGTTGGAAGTTTATGTAAAGGGCACATCTTTTCCTGGATTGCCATGAAAATATATAGACATTCATGGTCCTCAGATTTTGTATCCTGATGGATTTGAAACATGTTCAGTGCCAAAAATTAAGTGTCTTACTGTAAATCTTCTCAAACGTTATAATTAAATACCCTTACCGATTTGAAAATCAATCCTCAGTTAACACATTGATTCTTTAAGTTACATTTATTTTATTTTATTATGCAATAAGCCAGGTGTTCTGGAGAAGATTTATAAACCTGCATTGATGCTAACACTGGTCTGCACCTCACTGTCTGTGCATTTAAACAAAGATTCTCATGTTAGCCATAGTGTCTGCATATCAGAAAGGACGTTGCTATATTTGGAAACACAACTGTGATGCAGGTGTTATTGATGTTGAGGTTAAGTGACAAGGCAGAATGTGTACTATGGAGGCTTGAGATCACATTTATATGTAACTATTTGCAAGTCTGAAGTATGGAAGCAGATAGCTATCAGGATTCATTAGTGTGGTTGACATGCACTGCTGGAATGTGAGCGTAAACATCTCTGTTCATGTGTAGATGACGATGGCTACAAAAAGTTAAATAGGTTCGGGACAAGAATATAGAACTAGCTAAGATTAGCCTGCCCTCTGACTCGGCCTGCAGATGCCACCCATGGTTGCCATTTTTCCCTGCATTGTTGAACAGCATGCCAAAGGATCACAGTATCAGATAACCAACCCACAGACATGACAGGGATCAAAGGCATTTCCCAAAATATTCAAAAATGTACCCAATATCTTTTGGAAGAAATATTGATGAGGCAATATATCTGACTCGAGTGAAACAATTATCAAATTGCTGGCGTCAAACAGACTTCCCCGCCAATTTGACTCACTGTGTAAATACTTTATGACTTCTCACAGGGGCTTTTATGACCCATGTTTGAAACATGAAAGGAAGTTTAAGAGACAAAGAAGATGTTTACAGCAGGATAAAAGAAGAAGAAAGCAGGATAATGTTGAAAAGTAATGAAACGAAGTTAAGAGATGTAACATGATTAAAAGTGAAACTGACAAATTGCATTGAATAAATTGTACATTAATCCTGCTTTTTAGCTGCATTTTATATTCTTCAATAAAGATATCATGATAAATCATTATACGATTGTCATGCAATATATTCATTATCAGTGAATCATTGTATTTTGATATTATCCTTATGGGCCACGTATGTATATCGTATTGTATTATATGATACACAGTATCATGTATCATATTGTATCGATCGTATTCTCACATATCTTAATTTAGCCCACAATTCCCATCCCTACTGATCCTCTGTCTACTCTCATTACAATTTGAAATGAAACAGGTTTTCCATCAATATTTAGCAGGACAAAATGGAATTCTCAAAGGTTAAACAAAAACCTTTGAGACCCCTTTCACTTCCGGTTCTATAGATTTAGTATTTGAGCTGTAAAACACATGTGAACTAATGCTAAATCCAGTGAATTCCCACAGAAAAGAAGGAAGCAACAGAACTGTGTACATGCTTGTACGTGGGAGGGTGCTTGTTGATGCACATTCATGTATGTCAGCTTGTGTGTGTGAGAGAGAAAGCATGAATATCAGTGTGTCCATGAAATTCCTGCAGCAGAGCAGATCCGTAAGGTGACCCCAAACTCCTAGTCAGGTGCAGAGCTGAGCATAAAGGGGAATTTGTGAGTGTGAGGGGGAATGCGGGTGGGAAAGCACAGGATCTAAATCCATACTCAACAGCTGTTGTGTGAGTGTGTGTCTCACATGTGAGTTATGTGTGTGTGTGTGTGTGTGTGTGTGTGTGTGTGTGTGTGTTAGTGAGTGGGTAAATTTGTGTGAACTTATCTAAGACAGCAATGTGGTGAATGAGGGCTTGTGAAATGAGCATGCGTGTTTGTGTTTCCTGGTCCTGGGATGAATTTGCACCCAGATCAAAGCAAGCTTACAAAGACACGTATTAGTGAGTGAAACCTGAGGCCTTCCTCTCTGCCCCCCCCCCCCCCTCCACACACAATCCCATGGATTCCATATTACAGACAACCTCATAGTTGAAGCTATCGCACAGCAATTCAGTAAAGCCACTGGGAATGCAATAGCGCTGTGGGAGACTCTTTGCATGGTTTTGAACAGCTGCACAAATCTATAATGACATAATTTGATCCATCCAGGAAGTGAGTAATACTTGAATCAAAAACTACATTTCATGTCCAACTTCACTGGTATACATAATGTCTTTTTATCAACTGCAATGCAATCAGTTTTAATGTTTTATAATCTGCATATACTTGTGAGTTTTCTATGTGATTTTCATGCTGTGTTTTTTTTTCATTCAGGTGTGGATTTCTGCAGAACCTTATCACACACAGGGAGAGCTCCATCCTCAGGCCCTTTACCCATGGAGAAATCAAGGAAACGGAATGGTCAGGGTGAAGAGAGACTGGATCATCCCTCCAATCAGAGTGCTGGAGAACAGCAAACAGGTTCCTGAAAACCTTGTCCAGGTAAAAATGTAAAATAAAAAGAATCTCACAAAATAATTTAATCAGAAGTTGTATTTCTGTCATGAAAGGTACCTAATTATAGGTTTAAAAAAAAACTTCAAGTCTATCCAAAAACAATAATCAGGAGTCATTGAATACAAGCAGATTTTGCTTGCTGCTATAATTAATCATGTTCGTACTGGTCATTAAAATATCCTATTCCGAAATTTGCTTTCAGTGTCAGTGATAAGGGACACAATCCGCCTTGAGAGCATTACACAGAGCTTGATATATCCGGAGCCTCATGCCAAGTGTATGTTAGCAACACAGCTGTTATATGCTTCAGCAATCTGAGTGTTAATAATCATGTACATTTATTGCCAAGTTACAGTCTTCTAAGTGCTAAATGTCCTCTTTTTTAACATTGTCTCTCACAGGAAGCTCAGGAAGCTCTGTTCTCACACATATACAGTTCACATTTATTGTAGACAAATACCACTCAAATTACATTTTCTATTTGAAACCATAGGAATACAAACAGGGATAGACAAAATCACCACTGTGAATAGTAAGCTTGTTAGCTACACATGCTAATGTTTGCGGCTTTAATTAGAGATCTTAAAGGCACAGTTTTATTGGATCCTGCACTTTTACAACAGTGTTTGGTTTTGGAGAGCTTAAAAAAGAATCCACCATTTAAATTTTGGTTGAATGAGGATCTCTCTTACTGCCCTAAACATCACTTCCAAGCCAAGTCAGTTTCTATTCACAGACAGTCCATCTGTAGAAAAGGGTTTTGCTCCTTAATTTTGTTTCGACCAAACAATTCTGGGGACTTTTTTAAGAGGAACTATCTACTTGGGAGTTCCCTGAGAACTACACACCATGGGGACTTCAATTCTGTCTGCATTCGCACCACCATGGTGCTGCTTGATGTAAATTGTGTGTGAAATAACTTAAAGTTCTGAGAGTTTAACATCCTATATGTAAATAAAATATGTATTGTTGTATATCCCATAAATACTCCTTATTTATCTAATTAAGGCAAAGTGTTGATAAGATTTATATAATTAGACATATAAGATACAGGCCTAAGCGTTTTCGATTGTTGAGATCATATTGCGACTTATTAGAGATCTTGCATTTGTCTCATTTCTTTTTTTTACTTGAAGCTCAGATCTAGGATTGAGATGTGTGTCATCTTTGTCTCACAGATCTCACTTAGTTCTCACACAGGGCTCACGGTGATCCAGAACCATGTTTATGTCTCAGGATCGTCTTTAAGACAAATGAGGAAATGGACAAAATCTCCTTTTGGTCTTGACGAGTGCTCATTTTGTCTAGAAGCCATAGATAGACATTAATAAGATCTTATTAAACAAACTAAGCTACTAAATTTTACTTTGCTTTGGGAGCTGGTGGGATCTGTCATTTTACACACTTGAATGAAAATTGAACTTCTAAAAATGAAGGATTTGTAGTGTTTTCATCTGGAAACTAAATCATTGTCATGCAGATGATTAATAAGCTGATAGGTGACAGTGTTTAATTAGCTCTAGGCCTACAACACTTAATTTAAACATAACATGTTTAAAAGACACCTGAAATGTAAATGTTTTGTTCAGGCTGCCACAGACAACCAGTTAGCATATAAATCTTCCGCTACAAGTAGAAATATTGAGCAGTTTTAAAAGGTGATGAATAAGCATCACAGACCATGTGTCAATAAAAGTTAATGCAGAATGCATAAAATATAGACTCCTATAGCTATTCTTAGGTCAGAATCTCATTTCCTGCTGTTAGTCAAAGGCCTCTCTGAGCTTAAACACTCTTGTGTCAAGGTCCCTGACTGTCAACATACTCACATCTGGTGTTACAACACAAGCTTTACAATCCTTTACCCCCAACTCCCTATGAGGTTGCGAAGATGATAAATGTAATCTCCTCCTTTTTGTGTTTAGATCAAATCGGACAAAATCTTTACAGGAGAGGTGATCTACAAGTTAGAAGGACCTGGAGTGGACCAGGAGCCCAAGAATCTGTTTGAGATTGATGACAAAACAGGAATAATCAGGAGCAAACGACCGCTGGACAGAGAGAAATACAGAAGTTTCACGGTAAGAGAGAATTAATGGGAGTGTATTTTAAAGACCAGGCACTTAAATTGTGCTTCACAGTACAATCAAGCAGAAATACCTAACACAAATCCAAAGGGACAATGAGACCCTACATGTGTTTCAGAGCATAGGTCCATGTGTTTGTCTCAAATCATTTATCAGTGTCATAGACACCGGCACAACCAGCCAGAGGTCACTTTCCAAGGGCCTTTATGGGCATCTTGGGAGAAACTTCAGAGTGTTTCTTCCAGATGACTGGTGATGTAACGCATGAATTTAAACCAAACATCCTGCACATTTCTTTCTGCCATTTTCAGCATGTGTTGTGTACATACCCCACAAATACCCAAAGGAATATGTTGGACTTGTGGTAATTTGTTGTACATTTATCACGATTGGAGTGTTCACTCAGAATTAATATATTGTTTCTGTGTTTGTGTGTGTGTAGCTGAAAGCTTTTGCGCTGTCCCCCAGTGGTGAGAGGCTAGAGAACCCGACCATCATAGAGATAATGGTGCTGGATCAGAACGACAACCGACCAGCCTTCACCCAGAGCCAGTTTGTTGGCTCTGTCTCTGAGTTCTCAGTACCAGGTACATCCATGTATGCAGCTACTGCATTGTGTGTGCAGGTGTTTCATGAACACATAACCGTTTAAAGCTTCTGCAATCAATATTATATGAACACTGCATGTCATTACTATGCACATTTGGTGCAGGATACATGGATGATTATTAGTTTCCCTCAGCTTTTTTTAAGGGTATTTCAGCTCATTGTTGTGGTTTTACAACCTAAAACATTTGAACTCACGCTTACATTGTTTACACCATCATATTCAGATTCCAGATTTCAAGCAGAATTGTATTTATATAACTACACCCACTTACCTGCACTATACAGAAGGCAGATGAGCAAGGCGAGTAGAAAGTGTACATAATGGAGTATTTAGCAGTTAAAAAGACAGATATTTTCCTCAGGGAATGGAAAGAGCTCCGACAAAAGCTAAAAAAAAAAAAGGGATTCATATTTGGATTTCATGCCTAAATAAGCAAGCTTAAGTTGGAGAAATAAACATGCTTGTTTAGGCTGCTTACAAGGCGCCAAGAATGAATTGGTGATTACAGATTAAAAGTAATTCTGTAGTTTCTGACTTGCATTACTCAGTGGCTACAAGTGTCATATTTTTCAGTGAACTTGTGCAGCCTCAGCACAAGATTCACACCTCTGTGATTCATTCTGACAGATCTATCCAGCTGATTGAAGAATTACATTTCTTTGACAGGCACATCAGTGATGACAGTGTTGGCCACTGATGCAGATGACCCAATGACAGAAAACGCCTATCTCAGCTACTCCATCATTGGCCAGGAGAGCTTTCCTGCCAACGCTGTTACCAAGACGATGTTTGGTATTAACAACGAGACAGGAGCCATCTACACGAGGGATGTAGGCCTGGACCGAGAGGTAACACGCAGGTTAGGTTGAAGATGCTTGCAGATCATCATGTTATAGCTCATTTCCATAAAATGTGACATATTCTGTCATAGGTGGTGAAGAGTTTCCAATTAAAGCTGCAGATTGCTGATATGGGGGGAATGGGGCTTACAAGTGAAGGAGTGGCAATCATACATGTCACTGACATCAACAACCACGTTCCCCAGTTCAGCCCAGCCAATGTGAGTCTCACAACAATGTATAAGGCAGTCTTTCACTTGATATCTAAAACACCCAACTTACATTCATTAAACGTTAAGACTTTCATTGTTATTGCATCACTTCATAACACTTGATTGAATCTTTTGATCTGTGTTTTTATGTGTGGATCTATAGTACATTTGTACAGCTGAGGAGAACAGGAAGGACTATGAGATCGGCCGGGTTAATGTGACGGACAAAGATGATCCTGGAACAGGAAACTGGGAGGCCCAATACTCCATTTCAAACGACCCCGAAGGAAAATTTGCCATCAGCACAGATCCCGCCACCAACCAGGGTGTTTTGAGAGTGGTGAAGGTACAGTCTGATGATCTGATTCTGAAACTGTGTGAGGGAGGGGATGATTGTAAAGGATGTTAAAACAACATCAGAGACTCTGGGGCCAACCATTAATAGGTCACACCTTGTCATTTGCCTGTTGAAATTCTATATTATACATGAAACTATATTCAAGGTGTAGGGTTAGGGGTTAAGGGATGTGGGAGTTATGGATTTTGTGAAAATTAATTTCAGTTTAAAAAAACAAAAATGCAGTGAAGCCCTCAGACATAGCTCAACACCACCCTCTAGTGATGGAGTTTTGAAACTACAAGTTTCTGAGAAAAAGATGCTTTTTAGTTTTTTTTCAACATCAGATTCAGGTTTGTTGAATATGTAAATTACTTCTAAAATACTAAAAACGTTTTTTTTTATTTAAACTGTGTGTTTAACCACATTTATTATTAATAAAGATTGATCATTTCGATTATTGGTACATTAAACCATTGTGAGGGGAAAGTCTTCTTTTCACAATAACTCCTTTCTTATCTGTTTTTTCATGCAGCCATTAGATTTTGAAGCACAGAGTCAGTACAAACTGATTCTGATGGTGGAAAATCTCAACCCTCTGAGCAGCAAGGCTCCCAACCTCCCAGTGAGCACAGCTACAGTGGTGGTGAGGGTTGTTAACGAGAACGAAGCTCCACATTTCATGGAGGACCCCATACGAATTGTGGTCCCCGAGTCTGTGGTCCCTGGGACTTTATTGAAAAGCAACATCGCCACTGACCCAGATAACTCAGACCTGAGGTATGGACACATTTGGATACATTTTGTGTTCTTAAAAATATATAGAAGTCGGTCAGTTTGTGAGTCTGTAACTTTCTCTTTGTGCTGTGTGGCAGGTACGAGATTAGCAGAGATCCTGAGAGGTGGCTGGACATAAACAGGGATACAGGAGACATCAGTGCCAGGAGAACATTTAACATGCGCTCTCCACATGTTAAAAGAAGTATCTACACTGCTGTTGTCAAGGTTACAGGTCAGTTTGGGGCTAAATTTGCCAACTAGGTCAAATAAGTATTGATTAAACACCTAGCAAAAAAAAACAAACAAACATCAAATTACTTTTCTAACTTAGTGTGTCAATGCTGTGTATGAACTTTGTCCTGTAGATGCAGATGGAGTGTCAACCACGGCCACAGTGCTCATCACACTGAAGGAGACCAATGACTTCCCGCCTCAGCTCGTCCCTCTGAGTGGCTCTGTATGTAAGGATGCAAGCCGGACTGGTTCGGGTCTGGTTTTGACTGCTGTGGATGAAGACCTCCCTCCACACGCTGCACCCTTCACATTTGAAATGCCCATGGATGGGTCAATCAACTGGACCGTCGTCCAAGTCAATGGCAAGGACAAACAATCAGGGTTAAGAATAGAGCCAGAGATGTTGCAGAATTGTTATTTTTTTTGTTTACCGTGAATCTCCCGGAATCATACATTTCTTCAATGTTTTTCCTTCTTCAGATACCCATGCTGTGCTCCATCCTCTCGTGGAGCTGGAGGCAGGAGAGTATGCGGTCACAGTGTTGGTGTCAGACGCTGGCAGCCCGTTTCTGAGTGCCTACGCTCAGGTTAATGTGACTGTGTGTCCCTGTGACTCCTTTGGGGATTGCAGGTCTGAAGTGGGGGCTATCTTGGGCTCCAGTGTGGGGATCAGCTTCATCGCTCTCATGATCATCATAGCCTGTTTTGTTCTGTGTAAGTCTCACCTTGAACACATCATTCAGTCTTAGAAATCGTGGTTTTTCTTCACCAACAAGAACAATAAGAATACCTGATGCTAGTTCCTGATATTTTACAGACTTCACAACAAATCATTTTACAGAGATGATAACCAATACCCTCAATGATGATGTTAAACCACTTAATGTTTGACTATATGACCTTTAAAACAGGAATGAATTAGTAACTGCTATGTTTTATTCCTGTTTAACTGCAGTGGTGCTCCTCCTTATGGCGGTGGCTGTGACCACCTGTGGAAGACGTCATCACATTAAGAAAGGAAAAGGTCTGCTTGTGGGGGAATCGGAAGACGACATCCGTGATAATGTTTTCAATTATGACGAGCAAGGAGGGGGCGAGGAGGACGAGGTAAGGTTAGACAGGTCTAAAAGAGTTCTTGACTTTGTTATGCAAACTAGGCATTGATTGTAGAATGCAGTGATACAATATGATTTAAAATCTTGCAGGTTGTATTTAATAGATGGTATGAAATAGTGTGATCATGTCTCCAAAAACTCTTACTTTTAGACCCTTGGCTTCATTTTTCTGTATTCATAAAGTACATGCACAGTAAATCTGTAGCCTGTCCCTCTCGCCTCGCAGAATGCCTTTAACATTGACCTGCTGTGGAATCCCCATGATATCCCTTCAACCCCGGGTTGCTACTACCCAGTGTCCGGTGTCCCTCGAGGAAAGCAGCCCCTCAGGAAGGATGCCCCACACAACCTGCCCTCACCCACGTACCCAAGGAGGCCTCCTGCAGACCCCACTGACATCGTGGACTTCATTAATGACGTGAGGAGCTTCTTTCATGACCCTTTCTTCCATAAAACGCTTTCAAAAACACAATAAAGAGAGAGCTTCTAATAGACCGACTAACGTTGGAGACAAAATCTTGCATTTTTCACGTTTTCTGATGCTGTTAAAAGTTTGATTGTATCTGTTATTTAAAACACAGTTCGAATGGTGAAAAGTTTGCATTGAATAAGTCCGTCTTACATTCTAATATGATTATGCTTTGTGTAGGTACTGTTTTGAAGGCACAACTTAAAAAATCCCTTTATTTTCTGATATTAAACGTGAACTTTCTTTGGATTTCATGTAATTTATCTCAGATGTAAATTCAGAATTTGAAACAATAAGGTGTCACTGTCTTATGATAGTTGTTCATATTGAATGTGCTGTTCAGAATTTCAGAGTATGAATTATAAGGTTGTAAAGTTTTTTTTTTCCCAATCAAGCGTAATTTATTTTATGGCAATTAAAACTACATTCCAAGGACATTTCTTCAAAGCTCGGCAAGTAAAAAAAAAAAATGTAATTTTCTTCCCTCAGGGCCTGGAGGCAGCAGACAACGACCCGAATGTGCCTCCATACGACACTGCACTGATCTATGATTACGAGGGAGAGGGCTCACTGGCAGGCAGCCTCAGCTCCATTGCGTCAGGTAGCTCTGATGGAGACCAGGACTACGACTACCTCAACAACTGGGGACCACGCTTTCAAAAACTGGCCAATATGTATGACCCCCGTTAGGATGGAGAGAGAAAGAAGGGCTGTCTGATTCACCAGCAGTTTGGGACACAGAACACACGTCAGGGGTTTTCTTTTCTGGACAACAAATATTTTAGTCCAGGATGAGATTTGACAAGGGGGGGAAAAAAAACAACTATGCAAAACCGTGGGCGTTGAATCCAGTGTGCCGCGGGTTACTAGAGGATTATTTGGACACAGCTCACAGAATGGCTTGTTGCAAAGTTTTCAGGAAAAGTAACGGAGACAGTAAAATTGTGTTGGCATCATCAGCCAAAAGGAAAGGCTAATGGGAAACCGAATGTTTGTTGAAATGATGTCCATGTCTGTTGTTGTTTACCCTCAGATTTCAAATTGCTCAGGAATGACGCATACAACAAGCCTGAGATTTTAATTGTTTTAATGTATTTCTTTTTTTATATATGTTATTTTATAAGATAAATTTGCTTTGATATTGATTTTGACTGCTTTTCTTCTAAGATCATCAATCCTCCATTCCAGCATCTGTTAACATTTTTGGAGGCTTTCTCAGACAACCAGTAACATATATGAAAATATACAAAACACACAGCACCACACAACACTCAGTCATCACAGAGTTTGGAGGTAAGGACTATGAATTATTTTGTTTTCACATGTTCATCGAATTTAGATTTCACTGGTGTCTACAAAATAAATTGTAATCTTTTATCGAGTGTTTAATGTTTTGACTGCTACACATAAAACACACACATTTATGTAATTACTACACAAAGAGCAGAACATTATGTAAATAAAACTTTATTTTCATATGAAGCAACACTGTCCTTTGGGACTTCACATCAAATTGTAGCAATTTCAACCAAAACAAAGGAAAGTCCACAGAAACCTGTTCTATAGGCTCCATCTGCATTTCTGGCAGCAGAATAATAACTTATCATCAACATGTCGGGGGCTTCAGCCTTAAAGGGGTATTCCAAAAATGTGGAAATGTTCCTCATTAACAAGGCATTCCAATTTTTTGGACCTTTTGTTTTTGACCCGATTCAAATGCACACTGTTCACTATTAACGTCCACAGCAACCTACAACAACCTGTACTTTACCGCAGTCTCTACTGCAGCTAACTCAAGTACCAGAGACACTAATGCTAAATTCACATGTTTGTGTCGAAGCAAACCTTCCAAATGATTTCAAATATATTGCATACAAATCAAGTCATCTTTGACAAAGTGGACAAGAGAATCATTTGGTTTGCACTTTGTTAGCAGTTCTTCTGCTATGTCATTATGTGCAGAAGTGAATACATGAAATATTCAAGTCCAAACGTTTACGGTACACGCCTGGTGTGTCTGCATTTAAATGACTCCACACCAGCACACAGTGTTTGGGAATTCTGTCATGTAGAATATTATTGTTGGTTGCACATACAGTAAGAGTCGATCAGTGAGCTTTTCTATATTATCTGCACCGTAGGAAATTTAGTGCTTTTATGGAATAATAGAGCCAAACTGGCTTGTTCTAGCCCGTTTCAGATAATCTTAATGGGTCAGCTATTTTGCACAAAAGTCTGCATGTACTAACTTTAATGGTTTTGCTTTCAGGTATATATAAAGCTTTAAAGGAAGAATTAAAGCCACATTCATCCAGCCCCTGACAATCGCAGCAAAATGCAGCATTTGTGAAATAACTATGAGACCTGCATTCTACTCTCAGACCATCTGTGGATCCATGTCTTCGTCTGTGTGTTTGCGGGGAGGTGGTGGAGGTTCGTCTTCTCCTGTGTCCTGTTTGTCCCTCTCAGCCTCCAGCCAGCTCTGTGGCATGATCATTTTCTTGGGCCCATGTGGTGGTGGACCAAGCAGGGCTTCGATGTCCTCGTAGTTCACCACCTCACGCTCTAACAGTGCGTTTGCCAACTGGAAACACCAGAGTGTCATGAATTAAAACACTACACCAAAAGGCAAGACTAAAGTGCTCAATAACAGAGAAAACACAACATTTATCATGAAGGAAAGATCTACTGACCAAAGTAAGCTTGTCTCTGTTGTCAAGCAGCAGCTTTTCTGTGTGTCTGTAAGCACGAGCTATCAAAATCTTAGCCTCCTGAAAGAGGGAAAAAAGTTTATAATAAATAACATGTAACATATCAACTGTGCTGTAGAGAAAGAAAAAAACAGACAATGAGTATTCAATTAAAAAACACAAAGTTAAAACTAATTTCCTCAGCGTTTAGTGTGCTATTATTGGCTAACAAGGAACTCCTCATCTAATAAAAGAACCCACGTGATCCATCTGCTGCTGCAGGCCCTGGCTGAAAGGACGACGTCCAACGGCACCTTGCTCCTCTGTTTCCGGGAACGACACCTGGCCAACACTATCACTCATGCCGTACTGCTTCACCATGGAGTAGGCCACACGTGTCACCTTACGCAAGTCATCTTGAGCTCCTGGAGACACAGAAGGAGGGTAAATAACTTTCAGTTCAGAAGTGTTTATATTGGGACGTTCTTCAGATTCTTAGCTAAAAGTTCCATTTAGAGCCGAGTGCAGATCAGAGTTTAATCTGTAGCAAAAAAAAATTACTATCAACATAATAAGTAACAGAGTGTGTGTGCAATGGTCAGGATAATGCATTGAAATGAATTGCATCTACAAATAGACTCTATAATGTACTGTACACAGCAAATATCTAAAAGGTGGACTGTACCTGTTGTAACCTTGTTGAAGGTGATAGCCTCAGCAGTTCTCCCTCCTAGAGCCATACACATCCTCTCAAACAGCTGCTCCTTGGTGAACAGGAACTGGTCCCGAGGTAAGATCTGGGCAAATCCCAGGGCTGCATTAGTCCGTGGGGCAATTGACACCTGTAGGGGAAAAAGAAAAAAAAAAGTGATCATGTAGGTATTGTAGTTACTTTCTTTACTACAGACCTCATTCACTGAAATGTTAAAAGTCATGACATTTTTAAGAGCTTCATATTTTGTTTTTCCGGAGCCTTGCTGTAATTGCAAAGAGCAAACTGCCACATCCCCATATGATCATGGAGGAAAAGTGGAGTTCTTGTTTGGAAGAAACATGGATCCTACACCAAAAAAAAAGCAAAACAGTTTTTTGATTGATCATTGTGAACAAAAAGTGTAAATGATGGAACCAAAAAAAACACAATTTTCCAAATTATTTTTCAGGAGCGATAAATAGAAAAGAAACATAAGGGTTGAGCTACATAAACTGTGGCAATGAATGTTTTTTCTCCTGAGAAAAGGACTGTGACCGAGGTGAAAAGGAAGTGAACTGGACATTAAACTTCACCACAGAACAGAAGAAAGAAGGACAACGAGTATAGGACAAAAGACCACGTGGCCAATATTGAAAACATTAGCCAAACATCCACGAGTGAGATATGTCAAGAAACTGGAACGAAAGACATCCAACAAGTTCTTTCCCAAAGTGGTCATTCATCTCATCATTGTGCAGATTAAGCGCTGATTTGTTGTGCCGTTTGTGAAAGATATTTGTGTCCATCAGTGTTATACAAACATTATTTGAACCGTTGGTCAGGTTGTGTAAAGAAATATTTTTGCTTGATTATAAATGCACTGAAGCTAGAATTGTTGACAGCTTATCGGGCATACAAAAACAATGGATGTGTTAATCAAGGGCTACATGTTTAACACCTAGTTGGATGTCCCTGTCGGCTTTGACACATATTCAGATGTGTGAATGAAAGAGGGAGAGAAAAAAAAAAAAGAAATCACAGCCCAGCAGAGAAAAAGAAAAAAAATGGCCAGAGTAGTTTGATGACTCACAAGATATTTGGACTAATTGTTTGACATAAACTTGGCATACATCTGATGCTAACAGCTTCCATAGCATCATACAGAAAATTGTAATATACAAACGTCACACATTTACAATAATGTGTTGGAGTACGTATTTGTACAGAAAGAACCATAAAACGCCTACACCACATGCTGGAGTGGACACAAAGCAATGTGTTACCTTCATGACGGCCTCTGTGTGCTCAAGCAGCCATCCCACTATGGCATGTCCAGACTCATGGAAGGCAACCACCCGCTGCTCCTCTTTGGACAGGATCTTATTCTTCTTTACACTTCCTGAAGACACGTACACACAAATACACACGGGGGTTGTCACATTTAGGGAGAGAAGAAGCCAAGAAGATTCATAACAATCACTATTTTTCCAACGAAAGAACGTACCTGCTATGACTCTCTCCACTGCATACTCAAAGTTAAAAGTGTCGATTGACTTGTGGCCCTCTCTGGCAGCATGCAAGGCGGCTTCATTACAAATGTTGGCAATGTCTGCACCTGAAGCGACAAAGTGAGCTGGTGAAATGACTTCCTGATAACCTCATTCAGGAATCACACGTGAGCAAACCGCAAAAGTATTGTGTTAGGTCTAAAAATGTTTCATTTCTGTTGATCAAAACCTCTTTTTTTTTTAATTATTATTATTACTGACGGCCAATCTTTTGGTACTTAAAGATAAACAAGAGGGCATAATAGTTGATGTGTAAATACCACTGAAGCCGGGTGTGAGCTCGGCCAGACGCAGAGAGTAGACGACTGCTGGCTGGGTCAGTTTCAAGATCTTTAAATGTTGCTCAAAGATCTCCTTCCTCTCCTGAGAGGAAACAAAACAGAATGAAATAAGAACTGCATGAAATGAAAAAGTCCTGCACAGTTCAAAAAGTTTGGTTAGCCCAAGAGCACAGTGTTTGTTTGCTTGATAGCGTATAATGAAACAGCGTGATAGGGTTAGCAAGAAAAGGGACACTTAAAAAGGTGTAATGACACACAGCCCTGTGTATACATAGACGAGTGTAAAACATGTGTACATGATAAGATTGAAATTCATAAAAGCATTTATTTCATGATTCTAAATTGAGGTATATTTACTTTTGCCACAGTACGTGTGTTTTGCAGCAGTTAATTAACAAGAAGTTGATCTAACTAAATTAAAGAACAAACTAAATAGCAAATATATTTTCACATCTTTAGCCACGCCGTCATCACTGTTTAAGTCGACTGGTTTCTGTAGGTGTTGAAGACTACCTGCAGTGTGGGCAGGTCTATGAAGATGTGCCTGTCCAGTCTGCCAGGTCTCATAAGTGCATTGTCCAAGATATCTGCTCTGTTAGTGGAAGCAAGCACAATGACGTGGTCTGTCGTTCCCATTCCTGCAATGAAGAAATGGTACAAAGTTACATTGTTCTGTCTGAAAAGTACACCTTGTGACTGTTTGACTTTGAGATGTGATGATCTTTTAATATTTTGATTTAGGGATGCCAGCCAGGTCTCTCTCCTGGCATTTAAGATAAGTCGGTTGTTTTTTGTCGTTTTAAGCGTCACACAGAGTGTACACCCTTACATTAAATGACAAAACCCCACAAATAGAAACTCCACAACCAATGTAATTCAAAGCAAAATAGTCGTATATTAATGAAACCATGATATCCGTGAAACCACAATATAAACTCAAACACTCAACCCACACTCAAAAAATAACCAATACTCAATATCCCACAATCCCTCAGTCCTCACAAAGTAAAAAAGAAACAGTCCAACTCAAAATTCCACTTTGGGTTTTTACTCAGTTCCAACAAAA